ACCTTATTGGTACAATAAAGCCCTCCCTACACCTACCCTAACCCTACCCGATACTTTATTTTCAACTTTTTGATTATTTCCTTAATTTTTATTGAAAATAAATGCCTTTACGTTGTGATACGAGATTTGAAAAGGGAGAAAAAAAAGTTCGGCAAAAGGCGGAATCGAACCCGGTTCGAACGCGTTAAAACGCTGGGTGTCTATTTACATTTAGTTAAAAGTGGTTGTAAATCATCAGCTCTGGTGGTGCAGCTGGTTGAGTGTGTGCCCTTGGCTTTGTGACGCGATCGACCTGGGTTCGATTCTGCCTTTTGCCGAACTTTTTTTTCTCCCTCCGTTTTCAAATCTCGTATTAGCAATGGATTCTATTTACACTAAGTGAAAATAGCAGTATTTTTAGCAATATGCTATTTACACTAAGTGCAAATACCTATTTACACTATGTTAAAATAGCAGGATTGTTGTTGTGCTTTCTGAATTGTTATTTTGTTTTTTAGACTTGCATTTGCGTTTGTAATTTGTTATTTTGTTTTCAGAATTGTGATTTGCTCTGCACTTCTCGGTCACCGTAGATTATCAAGCTTCAGTTTATACACCGAAGGCATTACAATCTTTGCCGAAAAATCCATTGTGTCCTTCATACAGTCCAGATTTCCATTTCCTGTAACAGCAAAACACCTCCATAATAAGACTGGTCCATCTCTATGTTTGACCATGGGGATGGTGTTCTTCTGCTCATAAACATTGCCTTTCTTGGACCAGGCATAACAAAACGTGTGTGTGTGTGTGTGTATATATATATATATATATATATATATATATATATACATAGTGTTTATGTTTTTGTGATGTTTGAGAATGTACATAGTCAGTGAATACCAGGTTATTGTCATAAGCATAAGACCCATCCAAAAGGTAAGGTGTTGACACAGTTCACCACATGGTGTCACTGAGAAGTCAAGTAAAACTCATTTAAGGTGATTGAGCTAATGTGACATTGTCAGATAAATATCTGCTTTTCTATGAAAAATAAATCATAATTGTTGGAGATTTTAACTTTTGCATACTGTAGATTATGAAAACTATTTTGGTCAATCAAAATGTCACTCTAACCACTCGTTGCCATAATCATACACTAGTTTTAATTCTGTCAGACAGAGTTGACAATACAGCTATTCAGCCACAGAGTAATGATATTTCAGATGACTACATGCTACTAAGATAGTAATTTAGAAACTGAAGTGCAAAAGGAATAATAAATAAATAAAATACATTTAGAAGTGCATGTAAATGTTTCTAGCTACGGACAGCCTGAAAGCTGCTATGTCTGCATATTTATGGAACATAACCAAAACAATCTTATGAAATCAAAGTTTTTATTTTTTTATTCAGTATAGTGGCAAGACTGACATGAAGAAACAGATATTTCTTCAAAGCATAGCAGTGATGCAATTTATGAATTTTTACTGAGAAAATGTAGAACTTTGGAAAGAAAACTGAAAATTTACAACCAGCTGGTAAAGCCAGTTAACCCAGTTGGCTCCTAAAATTTTAAATAGCATTACTGGCAATGTTTGGGACACACTCTCAATTGTGAAAATGTTTAAAGACTTATCACTTTAGTCACTGTGCATTTTGTTTTCAGTCTACTGGAATCAAAACAAATGATCACAGGTTTGAACTCTTTTTGACTCTACAGAAGCTATATCAGCTATAGCAAGAGAAATCCATATCCAAAAACTACAGTAGCAAGAAAACCAGACAACATGACAAGACACGGAAACACTTGATTCTGTGTGGAAAGCTCTGAGCCCTCTGAGTGAGTTCACTGATGCCCTGTCTGGACAAGTCTATCTTACCTGAAGCATGTGCTTCATCTTTGTCACCACAGGATGAAGACCTAACTTACAAATGATACTAAACAGAAAATTATTACCAGCCACACAAGACCATGCTGTACATGACATTCATAGACTAAAAACATACGATATACTAGAAGTATGAAAACTGTATTGACTGATTCTTAACATTTCTTTTGTCTTTTTAATTTGTAGCACTTTGGGATTCTGTTTGAATATAAATCACGTTATAAATAAAATGTATTATTATTATTTTTATTATTATTGACTGTATAATGACAAACAGATGTTGTATATAGTACTTTTTTATTTGGAGCCAAACATGGTCACTATATACTTGCATGGAAAGGTGTTTCATGAAGATTCATTCTTAAATTCTCCTTTGTCTTTCAGGGGGGGAAAAAAAGCATACATCGGAACAAATGCGGTCGAGTAAAGAAATCACATGACTAATTAGCGCGAGAGAGAGAGAGAGAGAGAGAGAGAGAGAGAGAGTGTGTGTGTTGGGGGGGTGAGGTATATAAAACAAGAGATACACAAGAGGGGTACAAAATGCCTACCTGAGTCTTTTTAAATTCTCTTATTCAGCATCACCAAGAATGAAACCAAACCCTGAGTGAGAGTGACCAGCATTTCATGTCTTTGTTCATTAGACTGTCAGAGGAGCACATCACCAATCATGCAAGGTAAACTCTTCAATTTTTCTCATTCTATCAAAAGGTTATTCAACTTAGGAATTATATTTTACATTTGAAAGTAAAAATAAAGGTACTTCGATGGTTGTTTGTAGTATAGGTTTATCATCAAGAACCTTTTTTGGCTGCCTATATTTCTTTAGAGGCATGCATATAGCCATATGCATTATTATTATACATTCTTCAGATCTGTTTATCAGTTTATTGTGTTCTTTAAACCTAAAAGCTAGAATGTTCAATGTAAAACACTTTTTGGTTCTGAATGGAAATTTTTTTTTCCAAGAGTGAAATAGGAATGTTATTGTAACAACAACAACAATAATTATTATAAATTGTAAAATTCATTTAAAATAAAAATTGTAATAAAAACGTATTAATTTACAAAAAAATACATTATTTTAATGTAACCAAATAATAATAAATAATCATAGAGTAGCATAGAAAAGCAAGAGTTTGCCCAGTGATATATACATACATATATAGCTTCAGTGGATGTGAAAAATTATGTGAACTGTGTTTTTAGTGAGAATGATGCAGAGAACTGTCCCGCTATTGTTCTGCTGCCTGTTACTTTCAGCGACATCTTCCCCAGTCTATCCACTGAGGTAAGACAGACCAAAACCAACTGTCATTACATAGTTTTTTTTTTAATATATAATATTTTATTGTTTTATTTTTCATGCATGTAAATTAAACAAATACTTCTTTTATTTGTAACAAATCTCTTAACGTATAGATATTCGTATGAACCTAAAAATATTCAATGTGTGAAACATCACAGATATGTGATGAACAGAAATGGAATAATGAGTACCTGAACAAAGTGGGGATCAATATATTTTAAGTTTCCGCTGTGAGATGCTACTACTCTCTTCCAACAAGGTATTTGCAAGTTCTTGAACACATCTGGGGGACACATGGTTACATGTGGTTTGCCATTGCAAGGACAATCAGCTGTCCTTCCAGCCTCCCTGTAGCCCTGTCTTAGGTGTCTTACATTACGCACATTGCAGTTTATTGCACTGGCCGCATCTGCAGTCCTCATGCCCAACCCTGGGCATCTTTCTTCTGTGTTTTTCAGAGTCAGCAAAATGTCTTTGCACTGTCCTAAGTAATTATAACTGTGACCTTAATTGACTACCGCCTGTAAACTGTTAGTGTCTTAAGTTAGTGTGTTCATTCATTCTGTAATTTGCAACTGCTTTAGAAAAGTTATACCTTAACACTAGAATTTAAGTGGTAACTACTTGAGCCTTATTAAAATATATACAGTGTCGTTATATGTCTGAATCATGCAGTCTTCTTTGCAGCAAACATAACATATAACAGTTACATCATTCATAATTACAAATCCTCTTAAATGAGAAACTACTTGAAATCATCAACAGTTTTATGTAACAGCAAACCATTCTCATAGCATTCTGATTTTCTCAGAACATGACATTTGCAGCACAACTAATTAACAGTGTATGACTCATTTTTACACTAATATGGTTATACACCTCTACAAACACATGGGCAGAGAGTAGGGTGTGAATGGTACTAACAAAGAACAGCTGCCTATGAGAAGAGTGAAAGTCTACGTTCAGAGTCTGTCACACGTTACCCTAATTAATAGAGACTGAGCTCTGCTTTTGTTGTGTTAACTAGGGTCAGGGTTTCTATTATGAACTACAGACACTTGATGTGAGTCCACAGCTTTTTGCAATCATCTTATTGAATTCTCTCCCTTGCTACATTAAATTTGTAAGCTAATAACAACGTTTTTGTTTAAAAACTGTGGTGAGACTGGGACTAGTTGTCCCAGTCATAACCCCATCCTTGATTATGATGGACACACAGTATCTCATTAACTATAAAGTGATAAACACAGTGCTTGATGTGTTTGTTAGGTTTGGTCAGAGAGCGGCTGCGATACTGATGACCTCCTCTATCCAGGATCCAATGCAGTTGCCAGCAGACACTTCATCCCAAACACCAGACGCTGAGTTTAGGTCAGTCAATTATTCATTCATCTAGCGCTCAACAATAACACATTTTTTTCCACTTTTTGTCTTCAGACTTTTCTTGCCTTGACATTTTCACTGGCCCTACTACAAATGATGCATACATACAGTATATACTAAAATACTGTACGTATGCATCATTTGTAGTTAATTAACAAATGGTTTAGCTTTTTAATTTGCCAAGACAACTATGAAAACACTTTGGCTGCAAAATGGTGGTATACAGTTATATGGCATACTGCATACAATGATTACTGCCATATAGTCAACACATTTTTGCTGATGCTTCCAAACTATCAAAAATCATTCTTGCGATTTTAATAAAACTTAACTAAATGTACGATTTAATAAAAATGTAGCACTGGCCCAACAAGCATGTGACATTTCTGTTAACTGGCACAAACTTCTTGCACTGTACTTTGGGCCATCCCAGTGGTTGAACCCTAATACCATCCTTGGTTAGAAATGGTCTAATCTGACTTTAAATATAGTCATCTAATTCTGACATAACAGTATGATGTTTAAACACCATTTTTAGGTTTGGAAGACATGCTGACGCCATCTTTACCAACAGCTACCGAAAAGTTCTCGGTCAAATATCTGCCAGAAAATTCCTTCAAACTGTTATGGGCAAAAGACTTGGGTATGTTTTTTGTTTTAGATATTTTTGGACAACTATAACTAAATAATTTAATGTTTTTAATTAAATAATTTCGTTTAAGGAA